TTTGGGAAACCTCGAGGCCCTTTGGCACCTGGCGCTAGCTGCGCTGTCTCTGCTGGGCAGTGCGATCGAGTGTACAGCGTGCCCGGCGCGTTTGGAGCGGTAAAGCTGTCCCGTGGCTGTGGGGGCGAGAGATGACGAGACATGGCGAGCCGCGAATGATTGGCAAGTGCACTCTTCTTTTCCATAGCCGTCCTGCTCAGGGACCCGCCCGCCCACCCTTGGGAAACCTCGAGGCCCTTTGGCACCTGGCGCTAGCTGCGCTGTCTCTGCTGGGCAGTGCGATCGAGTGTACAGCGTGCTTGGCGCGTTTGGAGTTGTAAAGCCTGTCCCCTGGCAGTGGGGGCAAAAGATGACGAGGCATATATAGATATGTATATATATGTATCCGTAAGAGCTTCGCCCCCCGCCGCCGGCCCCCTCTCTCGGATAATGGGCCATGGAAGAGCTAAGTCATGAGGCCTTGGCGCTGTCGTGAAGCAGTATCGCAACTTCATGCGAAGCCGATTCGCAATCAGCAAAACCAACTGATCACAAGAGGGGTTACCACACCTGGCGATTGGTAAGACGTGTATGGTTTACGGGCTTGGTTACCACACCTTGCGATTAAAGGGCCGAGGGAGTTCTCGCAGTTTGGGTTACCACGCCTTGCGATGGATGTGCGTGAAGGGTGGCACCGAATTTCAGAAATGTGGCAAATCCCCTGTGTTTTTGGACCCTGACCCCGCGGATCTGCGTGAGGGGTGGCACCGAATTTCAGAAATGTGGCAAATCCCTGTGTTTTTGGACCCTGACCCCGCGGATCTGCGTGAGGGGTGGCACCGAATTTCAGAAATGTGGCAAATCCCATGTGTTTTTGGACCCTGACCCCGCGGATCTGCGTGAGGGGTGGCACCGAATTTCAGAAATGTGGCAAATCCCATGTGTTTTTGGACCCTGACCCCGCGGATCTGCGTGAGGGGTGGCACCGAATTTCAGAAATGTGGCAAATCCCATGTGTTTTTGGACCCTGACCCCGCGGATCTGCGTGAGGGGTGTCGATTTCGAACCCCCCCAGCAATTCAGACAACGCGCCCAGGGGGTGCTAAATTTCCCGTTTGGGCCTCACCCCCCCCTCGCGCGGTCAATCTCTTAGTTACAGTAACCAGCAATAAGTCAACTAGTTACAGTAACCAGAAAGAAGCAGAACTGTAACACTGGAAACTACAAGCTACAACTGGTACAGGAAACTGCGAACCTCGCTCCTACAGCCTGGTGGCCCCACAAGGGGGCCGGCGGATACGTATGTATGTATGTTTGTCTGTGTGTATGTGTGTATATATATATGTATATAAGTAAATGTATATGAGATCCGTCGCTTGTAAACAAAGAGGTTGTGCTTTCCTGGGACTGTGTTCTTCCTGGACGGCCTCTTCACTCGCGTAAGTTCGTTTCGTCTAGGGGCCGGCTCTCCCGGCTCGCTTCGTCCAGGGGGTTCGCCTCGCCGCGGCTCGCTCCGCGCGTTTCGCTTCGTCCAGGCTTCGCTTCACCTGCTGGGTTTTTTTGCCCGCTTGGTTCGTCTTGCCCAGTTCGCTTCATTCCAGAAGGAGGGAGGAGGAGGAGGAGGAGGAGGAGGAGGAGGAGGAGGAGGAGGAGGAGGAGGAGAGAGGAGGGAGGAGGAGGAGGAGGAGGAGGAGAGGAGGAGGAGGAGGAGGAGGAGGAGGAGGGAGGAGGAGGAGGAGGAGGAGGAGGAGGAGGAGGGAGGAGGAGGAGGAGGAGGAGGAGGAGGAGGGAGGAGGGAGGAGGAGGAGGAGGAGGAGGAGGAGGAGGGGGGAGGAGGAGGAGGAGGAGGGGAGGGGGAGGAGGAGGAGAGGAGGGAGGAGAGAAGGAGGAGTAGGCGGGAGGAGGAGGAGGAGGAGGAGGAGGAGGAGGAGGAGGAGAGAAGAGGAGGAGGAGGAGGAGGAGGAGGAGGAGGAGGAGGAGGAGGTTCGCAGGTTCGCTGCGCCCAGTTCGCCTCGCACGGTTCGCCTCGCACGTTTCGCTATTCCCCCTTTCGTTCCGTCCGGGCTCTCCCCGCGCGGCCAGCCCGCCCTTCATCCGGGCTACCCCGCCAGGTCCGCTCGTCCAGGCCTGCCCCGTCAGGGCCCGCCTGTCCTGCAGTAGAGTTCGCATCCCGACCCGTTCCCCAGGGCGATGAATCCTACTCGGTTGCGCCTCACACTGTCATGTCCCGCCCGCTGCGTCCGCTGCGAACCCTAGGCGACGCGAGCCCGGGCGAAGCGAACCTCCGCGAAGGCGAGCCCCGAGGTGAAACAGGCGCAAGGGAACGGGCCAAGCAGACCCCCAGCAAAGCCAACACCGACTAAGGAAGCTTTGGAGAAGCGAGCTCCCAGCGACGAAGCGAACCCCATCGAAGCGAACTCCTGGCGGAGCGAACCCCTGCGAAACGAACCCTAGCGAAGTGTACAGCGTACCCTGGCGAAGCGAACCCGCGGCGAGGTAAATCGTGCGAAGCGAACTTGGCGAGGGGGTTCGATACACGTGGTAAGTGTGACGGGAGAGGGGATTTCTCTGTGAGACTCACAGAACCCTTGCCGTACAGTGCCTGGCATTCCACCAGAATTCAACATGCCAGGGTCATCGGTGGGATAACCGCCAAGACGACAGAGACCATTTTTGGTGGTGGTGATACACAATCGACGCAGGCGATGTTTCGGATACCTCTGCTGAGGAATATTGGCCGAGACGATGATGCTGTTAATGATGGTGACGACAGGGCCGAGGCTCACTGTCGTATACTGAGAGATGGCCATGGCGACAATGAAGAGGAGGTGGAGGGAGAGAAAGCCGAATACGTTGACGAAGACCATGGTCAGATTCGAGGGGAAGCTTAAGTAGGGCGACGAATCTGAATGGGATTGGCACAGCGGAAACTTTCCCCCCTGGTCCCTCCTCCTTTCCCCTTCCCTCCATTCTCCACCCTCCTCCCTCTCTTGTCCATCTCCCCCCCCAGTCCTCCTCGCCCCCTCCTTTTTTGTTCCCTCTCTCTCTATCTCTCTCCCTCCCTCCCTCTCTTTTTCCTCCCTCCTTCCTCGCTTTTTCTCTTTCTCTCTCTCTCTCTCTCATTATCCCCCCCCCCTCCCTGCCTCTTTCCTCTCCCTCCCAGTCCCTTCCCACTCACACAATACCGCTACTACTCTCCCTCCTCCCCTGAAGTTTTCTGGACGATCTCTGCCCCCTTTCGCCTGTTGTTTGTTGCTGAGGATTTAGACAGTCGGTTTGTCTCTCTCTCTCTCTCTCTCTCTCTCTCTCTCTCTCTCTCTTATTTTTACAAATCAAGTTGTTTCTGGTGTTTCAACATGGTTCTTCCGCTGCAGCGCGGGCCAGTTTTCTGGATCTGAGTCTTGTTTCACTGTGGTCGCCCCCCATCATTTCCCCTCCTCCGCATTCCCCTGGTCCTCATGTTCCTTCCTTTCCCTGCACTCCAGTTCCTGCTGCTGCCCTAGCGCAGGGTCTTTCTTCATCGTTGTCGCCCCCCTCATTTTACCTCCTCCGCCTTCCCCTGGTCCTCCTTTCCCTCCTGATCCTGCCGCTTTAGTTCTTGCTGCTGCACTTCGTCCTCATCCTTTTCCTCCCGCTCATCCTCCCGCTGCTCACCGGCCACCTCACCATCCTCCTCTACACGCAGCTCCCCTTTTTCCAATTGCGCATGACACGATGTGGTCTTCCTGTGTGAGTCGCACGTTGGCTACGACACGCGTCCAGGGATTGAGAAAACTCAGTGCTGTGGGAATGGATGGGAGGGAGGGACAGGATGCCAGATGAGGCGCGAACGCACCTAGATCGTCCTACCCCGTCTTCCTCTCCGCCCCCCTCCCTCACATCTGACGTTGCGAACAAAAACAGCAACATCGAGGAACACAGCGACCGGAGCCCTGGACCCCATCCTTTTGCCTCTTTTTTCGAGCCGGATCGATCTGTGAGGGTCTCGGGGGCCCGAAGTTGGGCGAAACCGCCCGTTGCCACAAAATTGCAACGCCGAGATTTTAGATATCCTTTTTTCCTCCCCCCTTAATCGAGAATCAAAGAATGCATAACTGTAATAACACGATGAAGACGCGGACTCCCTTAGGTCCCCGTCCTCGCATCAGGGATCATACGTTAAGGCGGTTTGGCTTGTTTCATCTGCACGAAAGGACCCCCTCTCCCTACTGTGTTATGGCCCTCCTCACTTAGGTTCCCCCCCAAAGGGTTTGGGGTCTTTCTTTTGAGCCGATCGCCCGTCCAGGTCTCGAGGTCCCCCCTATTGAAGCAACCGATGGTTTATTGCATTGCCGGGGAAGCGTCCGGAACACGGTGCATGGCGCGAAGCGCCAATGCAGTCTTGTATAGGATGTGTTGCAGTCTATTGCCCGAGGTTCGCGCTGGTTCGCGCTGCAGTAGGCCTGGAGGGAGATGTGTCCAAGTGCTTCAATGGACACGCTGCGCCGACATACCAGCGAACCACTACTATGCTTGTTAGTCGTGATTTGGAAGCTATTGGTTGCCCGAGTGAGTGCGGGCCACGACTTTATTCACTAGGTGCGCGAGCCCAGTCTGAATCGACAACTCGTCTGGAATAGTCTTTCGAACGCAGTGCCTGTCCCTGACAGAAGGGGAGCGGATTGGGCATCGCATTGGACAGGCGCATCATGTCTCATTTATGTGTTTTATTTAGGCGCCCAACCTGCGAGTTGGTGCGGGCTTTGTTTTGCTCCCGAAATCACATACATATGTATATGTGCGAGACAGAAAGAAAGTTCGGGGTACTTTTATTGTACCGATACCGCTACTCCATGGACCTCTCCCTGGGTGCGTTCTGACCAGAAGGTCGAGGCGAATGCAGCGGTGGCGACGAGGGCCTCCGAGGAGACCCTCAAAAGGGGGGAAACGGGTGAAGGGTAGAGGTATGGGTACCTTCTTCTCGGAATCGCTCTTTCCTCCCCTCTCCCCCTCCGTCCCCCCGCCCTCTGGCGACGCCGGAGGCCTCGGGCGGTGACCTACAGCGCGGGCTCACGGACGTGAGCCTCGGGTCTGACGTCGGCGAGGCGGAAGTGCCTCCGAAGAGGGCGCGGCTCGAGGCTGGGCCGCGATGACGGGGACGGAGGGAGGGACGGAGGGGCGGAGGGACGGAGGGAGGGAGGAGGGAGGAGGGAGGGAGGGAGGGAGGGAGGGAGGGAGGGAGGGGGAGGGAGGGAGGGAGGGAGGGAGAGGGAGGAGGAGGGGTGAGGAGGAGGAGGAGGAGGAGGAGGAGGAGGAGGAGAAGGAGGGAGGAGGGAGGAGGGAGGTGGAAGGAGGGGAGGTGGGAGGAGAAAGGAGGGACGATGTTTAGGATGACGATTGCAGGAGAAAGGAGGGGCGGAGGGACGGAGGGAGGGAGGAGGGGAGGGAGGGAGGGAGGGAGGGAGGGAGCGAGGGAGGGGAGGGTGGGAGGAGGAGGAGGAGGAGGAAGAGGAGGAGGAGGAGGAAGAGGAGGAGGAGGGGGAGGAGGAGGGGGAGGAGGAGGAGGAGGAGGAGGAGGAGGAGGGGGAGCATGAGGAGGAGGAGGAGGAGGAGGAGGAGGAGGAGGAGGAGGTTGAGGACCAGTGTAAACTCAAGAGTCATTAACGATGTTGGAGTAAACCCTCCCTCCAAGCTCCCTCCGTAGAGGCCCTTACAACGGTTCATTTCCATTGGTGGAACTGCCTCGTTGGAAGACACCCCTTTGAAGACCATGAAGCATGCTAAAACATTGTTCTCGGGATTCCAACGCCACGGATCAACCTGACATTTGCGTCTTGACGACCTCGAATCATACCATAATGTCATTGTTATGATGTCAATATACACAGATATCCAATATAATTGTTGCACCCGCATGCTCCATAATCCTTCCAACACACCATTTCTGGAACGCTGATGGTGGGGATCCGTGAAACTCTTGAACATGGTGTAAACGAATGTGCACAGCCTCAAGGCGAGAGCCACATTTTGAAAAGGAACCATCCTCAATCCGTGAAGATATTCCACCGTTTTTTGTGAACAAAACGAATGTGCGCGGCGCTGAAGCGAAAACCAGATTTTGGAAACCACTCGCCCTCAATCCGTGAAGCTCTTGCAAATGTTTAAGACGAATGTGCGCCGCGCTCTGGCGAGAGCCACATTTTGAAACGACCCGCCCTCGACCCGTGAAATTCCTGCAAGTTGTTTCAAATGAGTGTGCGCGGCGCTGCGGCGCTGAGGCGAGAGCCACATTCTGAAAACCACCCGCCCTCAACCCGTGAAGCTCTTGCAAATGTTTAAAAAGAATGTGCGCCGCGCTAAAGCGAGAACTACATTTTGAAAACGGGCCGCCTTCCATTAGTGAAGCTGTTGCCAATGTTTTAGCTTCAGAGTCATTCGTGGTGAGGAAGTCTTTGTCGAAACGCCGGGCCCGCCCTAAAAACTGGCTTCGGGGTGCGACAAGGAGAAAGTATTCACGAGGAAAAGGATTGTAGGAGGAGGAGGAGGAAGCGGTGGCGGAGGCGGAGGCAGAGGAGGAGGTGGAGGCGGAGGCGGAGGAGGATGCGGAGGCGGAGGCGGAGGCGGAGGCGGAGGCGGAAGAGGAGGCGGAGGCGGAGGCGGAGGTGGAGGCGGAGGAGGAGGCGGAGGAGGAGAAGGAGGAGGAGGAGGAGGTCCGTAGCCATTTTGGCTCAAGTCCGGAGGCATTGCTCAAGTGGACTGAGTTATTCTGGCAAGGGGAACGCGCGGCCCCACCTGCTTTCAACGGTCTCCAGGAGTCCGCATACCGTAGTGAGGGTTCACCCCTCGCGGCTGCGGCCTCTTGTACCCTCTTTCGCTTACAATGGATGGCTTTTCTTGCTGGACCTGCCCCAGCAAGCGCTGCGGCTACCGAGGCAACTACGTTTGGCGCACCACCTGCCGCATTTGTGGCCACGCTCCCAAGGGTCCCTCCCCTGGCGGCAGCGGGCGCGCCGCACCCGTCCAAGGAGTCTGGCGCAAGGGTCCACCACCCAGTGCGCCGAAGCAATCGCAGCAGGCCATGCTCACGGAGGAGCTCGTCGCCGCCTACGCGCGCATGCCCGAAACAGATTTCAAGCTGCTCTCCGAGGGCTGGCCCGCCAAGCAGGTCAACCGCGTGGCGGCCAAGCGCGCCCTTGACGCAGGGGCTCCCGCCTCCACGGCCAAGGCAGCGCGTCAAGCCACCGACTCGCTCCGACAGCAGGTCGCCCAGGCGCAGTCGCGGTTTGACCGTTCCCAGGACGCCGCCGTCAAGGCCATGCAGCACATGGCTAAGTGCCGCGACCAGCTCGAGGATCTCAAGAAGCAAGCGGCCGCCGCCGCCGCCAAGGCTGCGGAGGCCTACAGTGCCATGACTGGGGTCCCCCATGTGCCCGTCGGCGACCAGCTGGCGCAGCTGGAGGCCATGGCGGTTTTTTTGGGCGCCGCCGTGCCAGACGAGGCACAGCAGCTACGTGCGCTCGCTGAGTCTATCCGCGCCAAGCTCCCCCAGCCGCCCGCCCAGGCTCCAGGGGGGCCAGGCGCGGATGCGGCACCCGCGGAGGCCGCGGCGCAGCAGCCCGCGGAGCAGTCTGCCGCAGCCGCTGCACCTCTTCAAGCTGCTGCTCCTCAGCCTCCTGACTGGTCTATCTTCATGGATCCCAACAACCAGTTCTACAAGGAGTTCTGCGCCGCCCAGGACATGCCTGTCGACGAGGAAGGCGACTCCGACGGCAGTGACGGAGCTCGGCGCAAAGCGGAGCACATCTCCCTGCCCACCTTCAACGAGCTCATGCGGCACATGCGAGAGCACCGGGCCAAGCGGGCTCGCACGGGTGAGTCGTCTCTTTGACTGTCGGTAATGGGACTTCGTCACGGCCAATGTCACAGGCAGGTTCGGCCTCGAATGTTTGCTCGAGTCGCAACCAATTCTCGACTCTGTCGCAGTGTGCGTCCAGGAGCATCACCTGGCGCAGGTTGAAGCATGGGAAGCTCGGCTTCGCGGGCTCGGATGGGTAGCCAAGGGGCAGCCGGCAGCAGTTACGGCTCGAGGTGGCACCACAGGTGGTCTCTTTCAATTGGTGCACAGGCGTATCGGGTTGGCAGAGCATCCCGATCAAGAGTTTTGCACTGAGAAGGCCAGGGTCAGCATATTGCATATTTCGGCCGTCTGCCCAGGAGGCGTTCTCTGGGTCAACCCGTATCTTTTCGACTCGCAGGGCGTGGCGCAGTTGAACTGGCAGCTCCTCACGCGCATCGGCGGCATCCTCTATCGGTACGGGCTGCCTTTCGTGGTCACGGGCGACTGGAACATCACCCCCCAGGAGCTGCAGGGCACAGGATGGATGGAGCCGCTCCAGGCCACAGTGCTCGCACCCACCGTCCCCACCTGCACCAGAGGCGAGGCGCCGCGGGTGCTAGATTTCTACGTGGTTTCGCACGGCCTGCACTACAGCGCCGCCATCTGCGTGCTCAATGGCGTGGGCACGCAAGATCACAAGCCAGTCAAGCTCACGCTGCAGGGCTCCAGGCAGACCCCGCAGCTCCCGTGCGTCAGAGTGCCTAGACAGTTCCCGCGAGAAGTGCCAGCAGGTTGCTACCTGCCCAGCCAACGCTGGGATCCTGTGCTGGAGGTCCTTCGTCGGCAGCCCGACGTGGATGATGCTTGGAAGCAGTTCGTCACGGCCATGGGGCTGGAGTTGCTCGAGATATACCAGGTTCCCGACGACGAGGCCGCGCGCCACGTGGGCCGTAGCGAGCCGCTGTCGGTGCAGTGCAAGCGTGCGCCTGCGCCTCGCTCTCCGTTGTTCCCTCGCACATCAGCCCTGGCCGTCTGGTTTCGGGGGCTGGTTCAGATTCTGTGCGACCTCGCTACGTTGCAGACCACTCACGACAGAGCCGCCACACTCGCGGCAGCGCGTCAGCATGCCACAGCCTCGCACATGTTTCCAGCTCGTCACGTTGTCGCATGGCGCGCCCTCCTGCATGGCGCCAGCTACATCGACTGGTCGCTCGCGCGCGTCCTGCGCTCGGAGGCCCGCGACCTCGCCACCACCTTTCAGCATGATGCCGAGCGGAAGCGGGACCAGGAATGGAGAGCCTGGGCCCGCAAGCACAGCGACGCTGGAGGCGGCGCTCCATTCGCAGTCAGCAAGCCTCCGACGCCATGGTACTCTAGCCCCTCTTTCAGCACTGCTGGTGAGGCCAGGCCTGCCCCAGCCTCGCTGCAGCAGGAGATGCAGCTGTTAGTGGAGGAGTGGAGTTCGTTCTGGAGGGTGGGGGAGGAGGGGGCCCCGCTCGCCTGGCCAGCCGACATGGGGCCGCCGCTGCCAGATTTCTCGGTCGACGAACTTCGTGCCTGCCTGAAGACGTTCAACGCGTCCTCAGGCACAGGGTTCGATCAGATCAGACCCCGCCAGCTCCTCGACCTCTGCGATGATGGCCTCGCCCCCCTTCGCCTCCTCATCCTCCGCATCGAGAGCAAGCTGGTTTGGCCCAGCTGCTGGAGCAACATCGTGTTTTTAACCAAGCGCACGGGCGGGCTGCGACCCATCGCATTGCTGCATGTGCTAGCGCGCGTACAGGCGCGCCTGCGCAGGCCCCTCCTACTGAAGCGGCAGCAAAGCAACTTTCGGAGTTTCTGGTGGTCGACGTCGGGGAGGGGGTCCGAGCGGCTCGTGTGGGTCCAAGCTGCCTCTTCGGAGTGGGCTGCCAGCCAAAAGCTGAGTTCTGCCCCCTGTCTGCTCGATCTTCGCAAAGCTTTTGAAAGCATCAGACACGATGTCCTTCTAGACGCTGCTCGAAAGACTGGCTTTCCGTTGGGACAGCTTCGGCTGCTCGTCAGCTTGTATCGTCTGCCGCGGGTGCTCGAGTACTCTGGCGTCAGTTCGCAGCCTCTCGTCGCCCAGCAGGCCGAGCTGGCTGGATGCCAGTTCGCCACGCTTTGCTTGCAGATGGTGCTCCTTTGCCCGCTGGACACCGTCCAGGCAGCCTCTGCTCCGTGCACCCGCCAAGAAGCTCAGCTAGGAGTCGTCGTTGACGACTTCGGGCTGCACGAGGTCGGCTCGCATCAATCCGCCAAGTGCGAGTTGGCCAGAACCACCATCATGCTACATCGCGAGTTAGAGAAGATACACCTGCCAGTGCACAGGCAGAAGAGTAGAGTTTTAGCGTCCACCCCCAGGCTCAGGCACGAGCTCGCCGTAGTTCCCAGCTCTCGTCGAGTTCTTGCCGTCCAGTCGGAACGTAACCTGGGGGTGGACTGCGCTGCTGGCGGGGTCATCGAGCGATCCACCAAGCGCGGTCGCAAGGTCGCCGCCATCGCCAGACATCGCAGGATCGTCGCCATAGCCAGCAAGCTACGCAAGCGCGTAGCGCATCACATGGTCCGAGCTGCCGCACAGACCTCCACCGCTTACGGGTCGGGGGTGACAAGCAGCTCGGAGACCGAGCTGCGCCGAGCGAGATTTTTGCAGGCCAGCGTCCAGTGCCAGCGATTGCACGGGCGTGGCCTCGCGCTACTCTTGCAGATGCTAGGGGTTCGGCAGCTCGACCCAGCCTACGCTTTGAATATCACGCCTCTGTTCCACCTTGCCTCCGCGGTCTGGGGGTCCTGGGTCCCGCTGGGCGTCATCGTAGCTGGCCCCCAAGGGGCCTGCCGCGCTCTGGAGGGGCACTCCTCGCCCTGGAAAGCTATCCGAGGGCCCTTCTCCGCGTGCGTGGCCACGGCCAGGAGGCGAAGCATCAGCATCGACGGCCTGCGGTGGTGCCACCCCGTCGTCGGCTATTTCTCACTGGCAGAGCTATGCCCTCGGACGATCGTGATCGCGCTGTCGCGCATCGTAGATGCTTGGTGTTGGCACAGAGTTGCCGAGCATCTCGGCCAGCCTGTGCATCAGCGCGGGCCCTGTCTGGCCCCGATTTGTTCGGGCACGCGCGCTTTGACGGCCCAAGAAAAACGCACATCGTCTCCGTCGTTTCAGGAGGTCAATGGCCGCAGGCGCGGCAAGCGGAGCGCAGGCTCGCAGATTCGGCTGTCTGTCAGGTCTGTTTCGATTCGCCTGGCACTCTCTTGCGCAGGCACCTCGCGTGCCCTGGCCACGAGCAGGTCTTCGGTCTCGAGACTCCGCCAGTGGCCGCCTCGCTCCTCCGCGCCAGCGGCAGCCCTCCCGTCCGCCTTCTCGCTGAGAGGCTGCTCGCGCCGCTGCCTGCCCCTCCTCCCCCCTCGCCACCCCCCCCCCCCCCCCCATCGGGGGCTTGGGTTCGAGGAGACCCTAGCTTGCTTGACGGTGATATCTTCCTCGACGGGAGTCTTCTCGATGGAGAGCTCCCTCCCGTCGCGCAGTCTCTCGCGTGGTCGTGCGTCGCTCTTCAGGACGATCGGCCCGTCGCGGCCGCTGTTGTTGCGGGAGGCCTCCCCGCGGGAATGTACGATGCCGACGCGTGTGAGCCCTGGGCCTTTCTCATGGCCCTTCGTCGTTCTGCCCCTGGCGCCACCTTCTGGACCGACTCCCAGTTCGTGTTTGGAGGGGTCTGGCAGCGGGGGGAAAGTTTTTGTTGCTCTTCCAAGTCGGCCTGGGCCGATATCTGGATCCAGGTGTGGGCCTGCCTCGAGGGTCGGGCGGTGGTGGCGCGGAGGGGGGGGGGGGGAAGTGCCTGCGTCTGTACAAGGTCAAGGCCCACACCTCTCGCGGCGACCTCGAGAGAGGTGCCATCTCCGAGCGGCAGCGCGCAGGCAACCTTCTCGTCGGCGCTGCCGCCAAGGAGGCGGCCGCCCACTCACGTGTCACAGCAGAGTGCCGTGACAAATGTAAGGCCCAGGCCAAGGCCGTTAAGTTCCTCACCATCTGGGCTGGCCGCGTCGGCCTCAAGATGGCTGGCGTGGACGCGGTGCGTGTCCCCCCTGGGAGGCGAACGCTGCAACCGCGCAAGGACGCCTGTGTCGTGCTGCCGCCTGAGGTCGTGGCCGTCCTCTCCAGGGCCGACGTTGCCCTCGCGGCCCTGGCCCGCAGCGGGCATGTGACCCATCGGGCGTTCCCCATCTCCCTGGCCAGTGGAGCTAATGAGATCGTTTGTGCTGTCTGCGGCGCGGGGGGGCGTCACCCTCCAGGCCTCCTTCCGCGAGGCCTGCAGTCAGAGGCCCACTGCCTGGGGATGCCGCGTCTTGAGGGGACTGGCACAGGGTCGCTACAAGGTCGGGCGTGACTGGGCCCCACTCGTCGAGCCTTGGCGGCCCCGTGACCTCGTCGAGAGTGGACAGGCCCTTCGGCGTCGACTTTACAAGTTCAAGTTTCGAGAGTGGACAGGTCTTTAAGGGGGGGGGGGGGGGGGGGGGCTGTCGCTGGCCCCTGCCAGGGCAGTCACACCCTGGCAGGGTGACAAAAATGCCTCGCTCCGTTTTTGCCAGGGTCGAGGGCCCTCGCCCTTCTTCCTCAGGTCAGTGCGCAGGAGGAGGAGGAGGCGGAGGCAGAGGCGGCGGAGGAGGAGTAGGAGGAACGAGGAGAAAA